TAATAAAGTATGTCAAAAAAAATTTTTTTAATGGATGAGAGGTTTCTATGTTGCCCAGGCTGCCCTCCAACACGTAGCCTCGCCTCCTCATGCGCCAGGACAAGTGGCCTGAGCTACTGTGGCGCCCATATTTTTTATGGATAACATTTGGGCTTTGCTTTTTTGTCTCCTAATTCAAGTGTTTAGAGTGTTAACATTTAGTCTGGTAATTGCTTTGGTTAGATCTCTCATCTTGCTATTTGTTTTAGAATAGTTTTAGACTTACAGAAAAATTGAGATGATTGAACACAGTGTTCCCCTATAGCTGGCACTCAGTTTTTCCTTACTCTTTATATTAATATGGTACATTGTCCCAATCACTGAACCAGTAGTGATACATTTTAACCTAAATGTCCTTTTTCTGTTGCAGGATCCCAGCTAGGAACCACATTTTATTTAATCTTATGTCTCCTTAGGCTCCTCTTGGCTATAACAGTCTCCCAGGCTTTTCTTGTTTTTGGTAATTTTGATATCATAGTTCTGAAGAGTACTGGTCAAGTATTTTGTAACATTCCCTTCTGCTAGAATATGTTTTTCTCGTTATGATATTACAGTATTAATGGGTTTGAGAAGGTAAAACACCATTTCTATCACATATATCAAGGGTGCACACTGTCATCGTGACTTATCACTGTTGGTGTGACCTTGATCACTTGGCTGTTTACTGGGCTCTTCACTCTGAAGTTACCCTTTTCCCTCCCTGTTTCCATGTTGTACTGTTTGGAGAGAAGTCGCTGCATACAGTCCAAACATAAGGGTGGGGGTTTATCGTCCCTCCATGAGGACACAAATGCTCGTAAGTTATGTAAAATTCTTAGTATGGGAGATTCGTCTCTTCTCCTTTATTTATTTACTTATTCAACTATTTATAGCAGTATGGGTTCAAGAATGTTTGTTTTATACTTTTGGTTATAATCCAATATTGCTTTATTTTGTTGTTCAAATTATCGTTCTTGCTTTGGCCATCAGGAGTTCTTCTGGTCGGCTCCCTTTGACATACCCCATCAACGTAGGTTTTTCGTGGTTATTTGTTTTGGTTTGGTTTTTGTTCTCCTTGCTTCAGCCCTAGATTGGGTCATTTCTCCAAGGAGCGCTGGCTTCTTCATTGGAGAGTGATAGCAGAACTCAAGATTGAGTACGAGGTGTGTTCTGTTTATTTTTGTCCCATCTGTTCTTTGATCCTCTTTCGCTCTTTCTCTGTTTTCCTTTAGAGTAGGCTTCTTTTTCCTGTTTTGCTGTTTTAATGGTTTCTTTGCATTTTACTCCACTTCTTCCGGTTAACATAGTCTACCTTCATTCAGATGGCTGCGTGCTGCTTCACGTAGAATGCAGCATCAGGGCAGTCTGCTATCATTTCTGGTGGCCTGGATGCTTTGGTCATAGTGCATTTTACAGTTATGCTATAAACTGACAATATATTGTTTTTATTTGTATTTAAGTCAGTTATTTTTAAAAGAGATGTAAGTTATAAGAAGCAAAAAAAGCGTACGTATTTATCCATGTCGTGGTAGTTTCTGGTGCTCTCTGTTCCTGTGTGTAGATTTTCTCTGTGTTGGGGCTGACTGTGGCAGGGTCTCCTGTTACACTTGAGCTGAGCTGCTTGATGTTGTCCGAAGCTTACTGATCCTCTGTGCTGGTTGGTCATACATCTCATTTCTGTGTTTAGTTTTGGGAAGTTTCTGTTACTGTATCTTTAGGTTCCTGAGTCTGCCACAATGCCCACCCTGTTAATCTCATCAAGTAGTTTTAATACCAGGCATTAGAGTTTTCATCTGTAGCAGTTTTTTCTTTTCTTTTTTTTGGGTAAGTTTCATGTCCTTACCTGACTTTTTGAACATATGGAATACAGTTATGGTAACTTTCAGTGTGTCCTTAACAGTTAATTTTAACATCTATGTCAGTTCTGGATTGATTTCTGTTGGTTGACGTTTCTCAATGTCATGGGTCAGATATTCTTGCTGCTTTATTTGCATGCATGCTAAGTTTTAGTTAGATCAAATCTTACTTTATTTGGGGCTTAGCATTTTTGTAGTACTTTAAATACTTGATTTTTGTTCTGGGATGCAGCTAAGTTTCTTGGAAACAGTGTGATCCTTTCATATCTTGTTTTTAAAGATGTGTTAGGCGTGCGTGGAGCCATGCTGTGTGGGGCCTGTTTTCTACTGCAGAGGCAGGGCTCTGGGAATCACAGGATTTTCTTTTGGGGACAGTTACCATTTTAGGCCCTGCTCGTGAATGACATATATTGTTATACTTCTGATCCTCTCGGGTCGTTCTTCCATGAGTGTGGGGTAGTTCATCACATCCTTGCTTTGCAAAGAACCTTTCTGACTACTTGGTGGGGCCTGGGCCCCTGCGGTTCTCTGGAGCTTCTCTTGCTGTCCTGTACACTCCTCCATCTTCCGCATTCTCTTGATCTCTTCATCACAGCTATAAGCTGGGTTCCCACCTGACTTCTCACTCCCTGGGCACAGCCTGGGACTTCCCCCAAGGGAGTGGGGCTGGATGTGTGGGGGTTACTTTAGTGTCTCATGTTACATAGGAATCCATGTCCTTTGTTGCCCTATGTCCCACATCTGGAAAACCATCGTTTCATCTATCTTACTTGGTTTCTTGGTGATTTTAAAGGGAAAGTTAACCTAGTCCCTGTGATCCTATCTTGCCTGGAGGCAGATTGCCTGTGTCTTGGTGACACCACATGCCGAATCTCCAGTCTCCCTGAGAGCCCGCCTCACTTCCTTGTCATTGACTTTGCTTCTCGGTCTTGTCTGCAGTGCCAGGCGTTACTTGCATGGTTGGGTCATTCCCCATCTTTCTAAGGTGGTATTATCGCCCATCTTAAGTGAAACTACCCTGGGCAGCCTGTCTTTCACAGCAGAACACTTCAGCTATCTGCTTGCTCTCCCCATCTCCTTCTTCCATTCTCTTGAATCCAATCTAGGTAGACCGTTGTCCTAAGTGGCATTCGTCAAGCTCTTTAATGACGCTGGTGCAGCAAGATCTAGTAGTTCCAGCTTCTTTACTTACCTGGCTCTACTGTGTTATTTTATTGTGGATGATTCTCTTGGCTTCTAACTGCACAGTACCCTAATGGTGTTCCCACCTTGCTGACTGTGAACCTGTGTCCTTTGGCCCTCATGCGCTTGCCTCCTGCGGAAGGTGGGAGTGTCCTGGCTTCGTTCGTGGACTGCTTCTCTTTATTCCCTCGTGGCTTCAGCACCACCTGTCACTTGGAGAGTCCTGTCTAGTGGTCTGTCCTTGATGATTGCATTAGCTTCTGGCTGTCTGTCTATACCATGGAACCAGAGATCTTTTCATTTTTTTTTTTCATTCAAGAATTTTCTTCCTAGACCCAGAGATCTTTTCAAAATGTCAGCCCTGAATTGGTGTTCTATTAAGTTTAGGTTATTCTAGTGTTCTACTTGATCTCATTCATATACATCAGCCTCTGTGACCCCATTTCTTACTGTGTCCGTCACCCCTCTTCTCAGCTCTGCCGGTCTCCTACTGCTGGACTTGATCCCTGTGCTTGAAGCACCCCACTTAGAACACACTTCCTACCTTCCTGCATGTCCCACCCCTCCTCCATCAGCTCACATGGCACCTCCTGTCCAGAGGGCACCAGGCTTTGCCTCCCCTCATTCTGGGTTGTTTCCTCAGTGTCAGTTTCTCTTTGACATGATGTGTATAGTTGCTGATTAACTGTCTGTCATCTGCCTCTCCCATTAGAGTGTTGGCTTCATGAGAGCAGAGGTTTTGCCTTATTCAGGCTGAATTCACAGTGCCTGGCACATAGAAATACTTAGTGAATACCTATTAAATATGGGGGCGTGGAGTGTGAATTTAAATGAGTGATCCAGAGACACCTTCTAGATGGACAGTTTGCATCAGGTTGTGTTTTCAGTTTTTGGTGTCATTAAGTCCCATGGTTTGGTTTTGTGTTATGATTGCTTTAGCAGTTTTTTGTTTGTTTGTTTTTGCTGATGGTGTGGATTTTACTTAGCTCATTGTATAACACTATGCAAACTCTCTTGTCCCTCTTATTTGTCCTGAACTCTCCACTTTGTCTTTGCCTTTTCATGGTCTTTAGCTTTGACTTTTAAGATACAAGTCTGTCTTGTGTTAGAATGGCTCATGTATGATTGTACCATGCTAATTTGTATAGGAACATAGGAAAAAACATAGTTCTTAGCATTTCAATGCCTGTCATCTCAACATTATTAAAGTACCTGTTTACTCAGTGTCCAGAGTTCAGCTCCATCTTCTAGAGCTCCTACATCCACAGCCCCATGCTTCCCGTGACCACACACACCATGCCCTCTGGCATCCTCTCAGAAATTTCTTCCCGGATTCAGAACCAGCTTTTGTTTCTTCTTGAAGATCTGGTTTATTTATCATTCTCTTATAAGAACTCTATAACACAACAATTTCTCAGTTGTTCCTCTGACTATCTGAAAGTTTTAAAGACAAATTTAAGCCTCTGTTGTAGAAATTATCTGGTCCTAGGGACCGTGTTTATGATCTCCAGCCTTGGGTTTTTTTGTTGTTGTTTGTTTGTTTTTGCCTGTTATCTGTTTTGTTATTGTTTCAATTTTTTCCTCTATATTTTATTATTGTTTAGTGTCTGTGTTTGTGTAGGTTACTTGAAAATTCTTTTTGAGACAAGACATTAAGCTTACACTTGTGATTTCTCGTTTTAAAAAAAAGCCCTTGCTAAACTGCTTATGAGACGTAGATTATTCTTCTAAACTGTGCTGTTTTTGTTTTGGGGAATAAAGGGATAGATTTTTTTTTTTTTTACATGATTTACTTTTTGATAGGCAAAATAGCATTTTTCATACTCAGTATGCACATATGTAGTTGTGTCAGAAGTTGAAAGCATTAGAACTGCTGTACTGAATAATTATCTGCTTCCTAAATTTTAAGCTATTTTTCCTAAGTTGATCATTACTTTTCTGTAGGAGGAAATGAGTCTCAACCAGAAAACCAGGAAGACCCCCGAGAAGTACTTAAAAAAACATTGGAATTCTGCTTATCTAGGTGAGGCTGGTGATGGTTTTTCTAGTACCTGATTTTTCTGATATTGTACAAATAGTTAAGTTATATACAAATGTAAGATTTTGTGAAAGAGTATGTATCTACTCATATCTATATATATATGATGTGGAATATTGAGTAATAACTGTCTTTTGACATTTGAGAATGAAAGGTAACCCTCATGTCAGTGGTCCCCAGAGTTGAGGCCACAGTGAGCTTGGCGGTCACTGTCTGAAGTGCTGTCTGAAGTGCCGTGCCTGGCCTGGCCTGTGCTGCTGAATCAGACTCTTCATCACACTGAAGTTTGAGGATAAATGTGCTACATTGTTTCTGAAAACACACCTCATACTGAGATAGCAAGTTGTTTTAGTTATGTAACACTCATTTTTAATAATTTTTCACCTGAATAATACCTTTTTCTTAGTAAAACCTTTAAAGTTCCAATGGCAGAACTAGACATAAAGGAAAATGGGATTGGGTTTAATGTAATTTCTCCAAGTATGATGATAACCAGTTGGCCATGTGTAAGGTTTTCTGTCAGTGATGATGATTTTCTACGTGTTTCCTCTGGAGCCTTGAGGATTCCACACAGGTGTCTGCTAGGGGCTCCTTGAAGCTGATGTGGCTATGTGAGGTTGGAGGTGGGTGGGGCGTTGCTGGCCTCCTCCCCATGCCCATGCTGTTCCGCATTTGGAGCCGTAGCGAACCCGCACCATGACACAAAAGGTCCTAGGGCACCAGTTGAGCACCCTAGTGGAGCCCAAGTGTGAGCTCTCTGCCACTCACGCCTGTCTGTAGTCCCACGGGGCCAGAATCAGCTACAACTGGAAGGCCCCGGAGATAAGGGTGGAGCAGGACCTCTTTCTGCATGTCCTCCTTTTGATGGGCAGGCAGTCATGGGCCTTCACCGAGGGACACTGAGCAGAGGCCCCAGGAACCCAGCACTATGCTCAGTTTTGAAGTGTTTTTTTTTGGACCGTGTCCACTACATTACACAATGCCTTTTCTTGAGAAATCACAGGAAACATTAATCTTTGGCCAAAACACCAGAAAATAGCTCATCCTGGCCCAAACTGCTGATTATTTGTGGCTCACCTTTGGATTTTGTGGGTAAAGTTACTGATTCTGTTTCCTTCTTTTGAATTCTGGCTGCTAGGAAACCAGGGCTGGATATAACCTCTCTAGTGAGTACTCCAGAGTCTACAGGAAGAATTTTGGGAATTATCCTGGCCCATGCTGTTCCACATGGCTTTTTATGTTTTCCCTTGTTCATTCAGCTGGATTTCTTTACTTTAAAAAAAATTTTTTTTTTTATTTGAGACAGAGTTTTACTCTTGTCTCCCAGGCTGGAGTGCAATGGCACAGTCTTGGCTCATTGCAACCTCCGCCTCCCCGGTTCAAGCGATTCTCCTGCCTCAGCCTCCCGAGTAGCTGGGATTACAGGTGCCTGCAATCCCGCCTGGCTAATTTTTATATTTTTAGTAGAGACAGGCTTTCACCACATTGTCCAAGTGAGTCTCAAACTCCTGACTCCAGGTGATCTGCCTGCCTTGGCTTCCCAGGTGCTGGGATTACAGGCATGGGCCACCGTGCCTGGCCTAACGAAATTGTGTTTTTAGTAAACTCCTCAAATACTTTTTAGGACAAAAATCAGAGCTATAAATAGTTACATCTTATTTAAAAATAATCATCATCTCATGAATTTTGATTGTAGAAAGTACAGTATACTTTTACTTTTGCTCTCCCAGCCTCTTCAAGGCAGAGATTTTGAAAAAGTTTACCTGAGGCCAGAGAGACAGCAAATAACAGATGAAGCCTGGGCTCAGATTTAACTCCAAAGTGATACCATGCCACACTTACGTCTCTTGTGAAACTGGAAGTGCTATAGGTGCAACTTCCTTTTAAAGAAATATTGATTAAAGGAGATTGTTTTCTTTCAACAGGGAGAACCTTGCTAGTGACATGTATCTTATATCACAGATGGATAGTGACCAGTATGTGCCAATCACAACGGTGGCTAACCTGGACCACATCAAGAAGCTCAGCACTGATGTGGACTTGATTGTGGAAGTGCTAAGATGTAAGTAAATGATAACGTTAAATTAATAGTACTTATCTTTAGATCATTTGTCTTATCAGTGTGAACCTTTAAACCTATAGCCATCAAATGTTAAGGTTCTTGATGGCAAATCAGATCCTTCTCTGGACTTTCATTCCTTCCTGCCTAGGTCCAGTAATTCTGGAATAGTGCCTGATAGTCCCGGGGAGTACCAATTGAATCCATCATGAAACCTCAAGCAAGTTTTTGGTTATATGAAGTAGTAAAGGAATACTTTTAATGGGGATTTTAGAGATAGATGTTTCATTCATTAAAACAAAATAAAAATAACATTTATAGTTAAAGTAAAATACATTTTAATTACAGTTTTACCACTAAAGGAGTTTCTTTCAAATTACAACTTCCCGTTAATGTTTTCATGAAATATTTTTCCATTTTTCTTAAAATTATGTTGTGGATGAAGTTGTTTATTTGAAGTTTGGCAATATCAAACAGTGTTTAAGCATTAAGTGCAGATGGTGCCTACTAAGTTTTGAGTGATTGGACATCGCTAAGCCTGACTTGAAGTCTCATTTAAGTCCACTGCCTACACTAACATGGAAGGTTTTCACATTGTCCCTGGCTTAGCAGCTGTACTGAAGACTGCAGATTTTTTTTCTTGTGTGGATTTGACTTTACATGTAGTATAAAAAGAGCATCTTACCTTAGAACTTAGTTGGATTTTTTTTCCCACAAATAAAATCTTCTGTTTTTCTGTTTTTAGACAAATGTTGTGGGTTATTAAATTATTGGAGACAGCGAGGAAACTGGCAAACATAATTACCATTGACTGTGAATTCTGAGAGTGGCACTGCCGTCTCCCAGGATGGCGCTGTTCTCCCTGGTGTCACTGTGCAGAACAGAAGCTGTTGTCTATGCCAGCTGAATTTGGCTCTGTCTTTGAAAGGCCAGCAGCATTTTTGTCCCTGTTTATACTCTGAAGTTTTTTTGGTTATGATTAGGAGTTCCAGGTTTAGTTATTCCTTTTAGAACAGACCTTGCAAACGCTGCTACCCTACTGGAATGATTTCTCAGTTGTTACTGGCAAGGGATGTTTCCACCAACCATGAAGATATTAAATTGCTCTCTGTGGTTGCTTAAGAGGGCCCACCTTCCCATGGGCGATCCAGGGCAGCCTCATCACCTGTTTTACGCCAGCTGCTCCCACCTTCTTTATGACTGTTAACCTTTTATCCATTTGCACTCGGCCCTTTAGTTTCTCATTTTGTCTTTTTTCACTCAATTTTTGAACAGAAATGTACATGCCTTTGTAAGAACCTGAGTGATAAGAACATAGTTAGCAAGTTTATCACATTAATTGTAGTTCTGAAGAAGATGGAGATGTCATCAGTAGGTCCACAGGAGCAAAGTTCTCATATTTTTTAAATTAAATTAAATTAATGAATTTATTTATTTTTGAGATGGAATCACACTCTGTCACCCAGGCTGGAGTGCAGTGGTGCCGTCTTGGCTCACTGCAACCTCTGCCTCCCGTGTTTAAGTGATTCTTGTGCCTCAGCCTCCCAAGTAGCTGGGGATTACAAGTGTGCCCTAGCATGCCCAGCTAATTTTTTGTATTTTTAGGAGAGACAATGTTTCACCATGTAGTATGGCCAGTCTCAAACTCCTGACCTCAAGTGATCTGCCCGTCTCGGTCTCCCAAAGTGCTGAGAGCCACCGTGCCTGGTCTCATCTTATGTTTAAATCTTGTGCCCAAAATACCTAGCAAAGACTCAGACACATAGCAGATACTCGATGAGTATTTAATTTTATCTTTTAAAAAATTAAACTCAAGACTGTCTGAATGATTTTAATTTGAATACTGCAGCTCTTATATTAAGTTTTGTGTAAGTTACATTTCTAGATTATTTTTAATATCATAATGCACATACAGTGTGTGTCCCAGTATGTCTGATTCAAGTACTGTTTTTACCCCTAATATAACTGAAACTGCCAATTAAAAAGACATGCTAAAATATTTGTCACCAGAATAAATACATTGTGTTACATTCACACAGTGAGTACCAGAGCTGTTACAGTGAGCTAGAACTACATATTCCAACAAGAATAAATTTTAAAATGAGAATGTTTATAAAAGCATATTTCCAAATTTGTGCAAGATGATACTGTGTATATAAAGCTTGGGGATGTGTAAAGCTGAAGCACAGGGATTTTTGTGGGTTCAGAGGAGCACAGAGGTGATGTGAAAGCATGAATGGGATTCATTGTCGCATCATGGGAAAGTGAGTTGGGCGAGGAGTGAAATGCAGAGGTTATCACCCCTGCTGTATGGAGGTGGAATTTACATACCATAAACTGTACATTCTAAGTGTACATTTGCTCATTTTTACATATTTATACATCCGTGAAACTACCACTATCATGATACCAAACATAGCCACCACAGCTTGCCCCCACCAAGCTTCCTCTGCTCCCTCTCCTGGCAACCACTGATTTGCTTTCTGTCACTACAGATTAGTTTGTAGTGTTTACACACCTACTAGTTACAGGCATTTAGGTTGCCAGGTTTTGACCACTACAAATTGCTGTGAACACTTGTGTAAAAGTCTTTGTGTAACCATGTGCTACCCTCTGTCTCGGGTAAATAACCAGAAGCGGAACGTCTGGATTGTGTGGTTAGGTATATGATTAACTGTGAAGCTGCCCATCTGTTTTCCAAGGTGGTTGGACCATTTTACAGTTGGCCACCACCAGCAGGGATGAGAGCTCCAGTTGCCCCATATCCTTCTGATGCTTGGTATGTAGTCATGTTAATTTTATGTTTTCTAATAACTGGTTAGTGGTATCTTATTGAGGTTTTGACTTCTGTTTCTCTAATGGTTAATGAAGGTGAGCATTTTTTTAATGTGCTTATTTGCCTTCCTTTTTCTTCTTTGCAGAAATGTCT